AATTCCTCAATGTTTGGATGGAATATCAGAGTCTGACACGTGACTGTGGGCGGATAATTAGGCCAGTCCTGACTAGTTGTGGATATCTATGAGAGAAAAAAAAAGATTGTGATCATTGAAAATTGCTTACAAATAAGTCAGAGTGCATATCAAATGAACAAAAATATATTAAACATGAGTGTCAATACTGTATACGGGGAAATTTTCGCCCCTTTCGCCCTACCCTCATTTGGGCAAATTTAAAATGGGGCGAATTCAAAGAACAAAGTATGTCTTCTTAAATAAAGCTATGACTGGGCGAACATAAAACGGGGCAAAATTGTCTGCAAGTGTGAAAAGGGCGAAAATAACCCTGTATACAGTATATTGGGAATGACTCAATTTATATAAATAGAATAAAATTTCTAAGAAATATAAATAGCACATATAAGTCTGGCTTTGTAAGCCCTATACCATGAATAAAAGTTGATTATTTAATTTAAATATATTTTATTACAGTCAATGTACTGGTGTATAATTTATAATTTACTGATTTTTTTTTAATACTTGATTTATATTAACATTGTTTCTATTTGCAAATTTATAGATTTTCATGTACCTTAAAAACATATTTCCCTGAGCAATATGGTCCGCCTGACGGACATATTTCTACCTGGAAGCTGAATTCGTCATCGTCACTCTCATCTGACCATGACAAGACGCGGGCCTGCCCGTCTATAAATAGAATCGCATATAAGAAATTTAATGTATATGTGCATTAATTTAACCATGTTCAAAACTTTACTCGTTTTATATGAAAACAAATAAGCAGAACTTAAATGGTACAAACACGTACACTAGTATCTGTAGATGTCATGCATCATGCAAAGAAAAGTGAATAATCCAATGGATTGATGTACATGTATGTAATGACGGTTGCAAAATTACTAGCGACTAGTACATTTATACAGATGGAAATGGTTTTTTGATGTAACAGTTTGACCATACGTGATCTTTACACCTACCTGAAAAGCTATCGATGGTTTTCAGTAATTTGAAGAAGTCCTTCATTAAACTCCTTTTAGATGCCATGATTTGAATGATATTAATACGCGCCAGTTTTTTCCTTTATATATCAACTTAGTGTGGAACTAAAAATAGATCTGATACTCTCAGGAAATTCCGAGATAGACTGGCAATTTATATATAGACTGACAATACAACTGAAGTATTGCAGGGTATTGCGCTACGTATGAAAGAAAAAATTTAAACTATGGATTTAAAGTTTTGAACTTAGCTTAATTATTTTTAATGATTTATATTAAATCCACTTGTTTATAATTGAGGAAATGTGCTGTGTTATCTGTTTTAAGTTGACTATATTAAAGAATAAAGATCGATCGAAAGGTCAAATTTTGTGCATGCTTTTCATTTGATGTCGATGAACTTGGTGAATATATATGAATTAATTAATTGTCCAAATGAAAGTATCATTAAGACGAACAAGCTTAATTTGTTGATCATAAAAAATTCTATATACCTGTATTCTATATATTTAAAAAAACAACATATATTTTGGATAATTCATAAAACCAAATTAGCCTAACTGGAAAAGATTCCCCATGTGAGGTTATTCAAATTAAAAATCAGTGAAGATTTTAATTTGAACATAAATAACATTTCAAACTTAATTCATTTTAATATTTTTTAAAAAATACGTTAAAAAATGGGAGGGGCAGTCACATGTATAGGCACTTGTTTCGGAAATAAATTTTTAACCCATAGTATATTATACAAAATTATTGCGTGAATATTGTACTTCGAAGGTAGCTAAATCATCGTATTGACCTCAAAAACAGCAATAATTGTTTTATTACATGATTCAATGCTTAAATGATACAACTCATTACTTGTTGGCATTTGAAGTCCCAATTAACCAATTACAAAGAGAGAAGCGGAGTTACAATGTAAATAAATGACCTGTTGTATTTTGAAATGTTTAAAATCCATTTTAGTTGCCATGAAACAAAAAAAAAGTATCAGTCTCTTTTATGTCAGATTTTGAAAAGAAGTAGGATTATCAGTGAGAGCTGACAGCAATAAAAAAAGTAAAAATATTTGTTTAGAAAGTATCGGGGGGAGAGGGAGGGGGGTCCTGGCACCCCCACATACCACCTCAACATAAATTATACATATATATATTCCCCTTATGTTATGTTTACATGAGTAAAAGTAGGTAGCAGGTATTATAGCTTTCCAAAACTATTTGTATCAATTTGGAATTTCCCGATCTATTTTTAGATAAATGTAGAGAAAATAAATCCTTATATTCACCTGGAACGTCACGTGCAGGTAAATATAACGTAGTATTTTTTTCTACATAATTGGATCTCAGCCAATCAGAATTATAGGAATTAATATTCAATCATATAATAAAATGCACTTGTTTCGGGAATAAATTTTTGTCCCATAGTATAACTATAATTACTGTGGGTTAGAAATTTATTTCCGAAACAAGTGCCTGTGGGGGTAGTGTGGCAACGCACTTTGAAAAAATTACGCACTTTGAAATTTTTTTTCAAAGTGCGTTAAAATTGGGACAAAATCAACGCACTTTAAAAAACATTTTCAAAGTGCGTTAAATTTGGGACACTCTCAACTCACTTTGAAAAAATATTTCAAAGTGCGTTAAGAGTGTACATCAACATTTTTCACCATAGAGACATTTAACGCACTTTGAAAAAAATGTAAAAAACAAAAAAATAACACTTAGATATTAGTAATTGAGAGAATCAATTTGTAATAATTATATCTTTCAAAAAACCTTTTGATTTACATGTATTGATTAAATTTCATTGAGAACAAGGAGAAGAAGAGTAGAATTAAGGTCTTTCAGCCCAACTCTTTTTTTTCTTATACATGTACATAGTCGTCGGTAGCAAATTGAAAGTGGACCCCCCCCCCCCCCCAAGGTAAGCCCCCGTTTTCAATGCCTGTATGATATATATGTTTGCGAAACATGTGTGTACCTACCCCCCCCCCACCCCCACCCCAATTACGGCACCGATGCCTATGCTACACCCAAATATATGTATTTGCATAACTAGTATGATGTTGAAAACTTTCAATAAATTTAAGTTTATATAAAATGTATGCAAACTGGAGAGAAAGATCAAAACCGCTCTCTTTCACATCCTGAAGTGACCTTATCACCGAAAAATTACACAACAGGTTCAAGTATCTATCATACCTAAGATTTGCAAGAATATTGACCAAGTCATACAGATTTTTTTCAAAGTGGTTACTATGGTCGATATTAACGCACTTCGAAAAAAAAATTATTTTTTCAAAGTGCGTAATTTTTCAAAATGCGTTGTAACAGGGAAGTCCTTAATGCACTCCCATCCCTATGTCCCTGATCATTACTGTTGATGTACTGCAAAAATTGGAATATGCAACTAAAATATTTGTATCAATTTGGAATTTCCAGATCTACCTGTTTTTAGCTCAATGCATGTACATGTATATTCACCGGATCCGAGCTAGTTCAAATGATCGAATCGTTGGTACATTTGGTGCCGCGACCAGGATATCGATGTTACAGGTTAAAAGAACCTTGCAATTGGTTAATTGGTATATTCCGGTTAAGGAGGGAGGAATAGAGGAGTCAGATGTGGCAAGAACCCAGATTAGGATCCGCGTCTGCTAGCTTTATCACATTTCTCTCCCTTACCAGTTACAAACTAACAACAGTGTATGATTTTTTTTTCATATAAAAGTAGGGAAAATGTATTGATTTACTGTACTGTGAATTATGTCCGTCGTGAAATTCAGACAATGATTAATATTTTCCATTGAAATTGGCCTATGTATTGAATTTCTTTGGAAGTAAGTTCTTCTTTTTGAAAAGAAGAGAATAGTGATTAGTGATAGCAAAAGTCAGAATAACCTACCCTCGCCACCTGCCCCGTTCAAAAACGTAGAGATCAAAAATCGCAAAGAGGGGGTGAAATTATTTTATCTCATTCTGTAGACATTGTGGTGATATCAACCTTAAAATTAATTCGTATACCTTCAGATGCATTGCCATTGTAACTTGAAATGTGATAGAGCTAGTAGACGCGGATCCTAATCCTAACAAATCCGGGAATATATACCGTCATTGATTTGAATAGTATCAATTCATCGTGAGAAAAACAAACATGGCGGAAATTGAAAAGTGGATTGAGGTAGCAAAAGAATGTAAATACCTTCCTGAAAATGACCTTAAAGTAAGTAATGATATTGGAATACTCCCCATTCTAATTAGTTTTTCAAGTCTAACACCATTAATTTGTAATGGTTTATTTTTTTATATGTCTCTGCATTAACCAATGCAATGATTTCAATGAATAACCTAGTGTTGTCAAATCGGTTGAAAATCAGAATCGATTAATCGGTAGCATCGGTTGACCCTAACCAACTGATCATCGGCCAATAATCGAATCGGTAACCCTTTGCATAAAATAGATATTATATTTCATATTATATTTCATATAAAACTAGAATTTTATTTTTAAATAATGTAAGTAAAGGTGCATTGTACAGATCGAAATTCTAAAAACTGTAGGGTGAATTCACCATGCATCGGATACCCTTGTACTTCAACAAGTTCTAGCGATATCGCTACCGACGGAAAATTATCAAAATGGAGTTTAACATTTAGTTTGTGATTAAAATAACAATTTAGGACACAATTATATGCCGTTTATTGAGAAAATATCCCCGAAAATCGAGTTTTTAGAAAAAACTTAAAATTCACCATGGATCGGACATTGTTCACCATGCATCGGACAGACGTTATGGAGACATTTATCACAGTGCTTTAAAATCCTTGATATGGATATATTTTCATCTTTTATCTAAGAAATAACCCTCAACTTTAATTTAATCGACGATATTATTGCACAAATGTAGAATGATTCTCGAGACCTCACTCTGCCTAAGAAATGCTTTAAAATGCTTATAATGCCGTAATTCGCGCCTTTTTCTCATGGTTTATCATACTCTGGTTTGTAGAAATAAATTGAGTAAAATTCCAGACGTCATATATCGATAACTTGTATTTTTACTGAAAATATAGAGTTTTTATTTTCTTTTTCCGCAAAAAACAGCTGTCAGCTGGGTTCTGTATGAAAATGGTAGTGTTTACCTTTGCATCGAAAAGTGTCCGATGCATGGTTAATTTGTGTCCGATGTACGATGAAAATAGCATACTAGTAAAAACCAGCTCTAATAAGAATTAAACAAACATTGAAGTGAAATTTAATTATAATTTATGTAAAATTACCAATCCCTGACAAAATTCACCAAAGTCCGACTCGTTCCGTGGAAGTCGAATTTAAAAGAACGATAACTCTAAAAATTGCAAAATCATAAATTTCGGGTTATTCCCCTTAGATGATGTAAAAATATGACGTAACTTCAAGGCCATTTGCGGGGTATTTTTATCACAACACGATAAACACAATCGGTATCATTAAAAAATCTAAATCTTCGTCTTTATGACAGAAACAAATACATACACAGAACTCTAAAGTTGAAAGAGAGTTTATTGCCTAAAGTTGTCCGAAGCAAGGTATGTGTCCGATGCATGGTGAACTCACCCTATATATGCAGTTTGATTAACAATTTCAGTAATATAAACTTTTGCATGATTAGGAATTACTTGGCCTGGGAAACATAAGCATTGACAGATCAGGTTTTAATTTACATGATCATCTAGAATATATATCAAATTAATTTTTTAAACTGTTATAAGACATTTAATATTGCAAATCCTTGTGGTTACGCATGAAATGAAAAGTGAATTCCCCAAATACTGAAAACTAATATATTTCATTTATACAGGTAGTTTAGTTTCTTTAGTTTAGAAATACAATTATCATTATCTTATGATTTATTTTAAACAGATTTTAAGTACTACATGTATTTTAAAATAGGTAGTAAAGGACAACACTTGAAAGATATATATTTTTATAACAAGAGCCTGTTCTTGAAATAAAAGTGAGAAAACTATTTAAAAAAAAAAAGGATATGTGCTGAAATATACCGATTAATCGATTGTTAAAATCTCCAATCGATTGTCTAAAATCGACAGCCTTTGCGACCGATCATCAATTATAAATCGATCATCGTGATAACACTAGAATAACCTCTGAATAAAATGTAAATCCCTCAATAACTGTTACTTCTCCATGAAAGACTTGGTACTTATAGTCCAAAAGTTCTGGGGTTGTAATATAAAGTGATTGATCTGACTGTAATCACACAGATACTTCTTGAATGATTTATTGATAATTAAATGATATAACAGATTTCTGGTCAACAATCAGTACAATTTGAAGAAGTAATACTTAATCCATTCTTCACTGAACACTTAAGAAATGAAGCTTATTAACTTGGGGCAGTTTACACTTTATCCGCAAAGCGGTTTATAAAAGGTGTAAACTGCCTCAAGTTATGTTATAGCAAGTGTCGCAAAGCTTCGCTCGTCACTGCAAGCTCTAAAAGCAATGCTTGGGCAAAGAGAAAATTGGGGCTTTGCACATTGATCCAATTGATTTTTTTTCCTCAGTTACTCTGGACCCACAATGCATCACTTGTTAAAGCTACGTTCTCACGAGAATAACGGCAAAAATTTTAACAAAAAGTTAACTTGCTTTGATTTAATGAATATATATATTGATGATAAATCATAAATGAACTGTTCTTCATTAACACTCAGCACTGTTCAGGCTTCCTTTTGGTAATGCAACTTACATACAATGTCATGTGACGTCATAATCTAGAGGCACTAAATGTCACGTGCGGTTTAACGAGCCCAATCTAAATTAAAGCTGAATGAGTATCTGTGTTCGCCCTAACGGTCACATCAACATATTATCATATAACATAGGTTGAAATAAGCTTCATTCCTTATAATTTAATTTCAGTGTAGACGATGAGACAAGTTTTCCTCCAGCCGAAAAGGCTTCAAATTGAGCATATTTATGTTCCCCAAACGAAGTTTGGGAACATATTGTTTTTACTTTTTCTGAATTTTTCTTTGTTCTCCGGTACTTTTTTGTCCACGAGTGTTCTCGTAAACTACTCATCCCATCTAGGTGAAACCTTTTTACGGTCACTAGGTATGTTATGTAGATGTGCGGAACGAAGGTCATTTTGCGCGCACGTGCGTGCGTGTGCGCACACGTGTAACACGTGAAATGACCAATATAATAGATATAGCCGTAACTTTTTAAATTTTGGATGAAATGCTTTGAAACTCATGATATAAGGATATATTAGTAGTATAGACATGATGACATGGTCAAAATAGCAAGATCTCACGCGCATGCACGTGCGCTTCGCTCCGATTGGCTGAAACTAAAAGTCTAAATATCTTTTTTGTTTTCTGACAAAATCCTTTGAAATTTTTAACATAGCCATACATTATGAAGATCTACAGCATGATATATAAGAATAATCATTAACACACGCACATGCACGTGTGCTGCAATCTGATTTGCTAAAACTTTAAATGCCTACAACTTTCTTGGTTCTCAATAATACAGGGTGAAATTTCGAATATGAATAGATATAATGAATGCCTACATTATACTACTATCAAAAGTAAATGCAAGGACGTGCATGCACATGCACCCGCACACAATGCATTAAACGACAGTATATACTTTAGTTTGTGATGTTCATGCAGAATTAAGAACTTCTAAATGTAAAGACATGTAACATACTGAATCATGCAGATCTTTTGACCCTTGACCTTGAAACTTAAGTCAAGGTCACTGGTAATCTGAATAAAATGTTGATATTAGCTATATACCAAAATCACCTTGACCTATGAACTTGAAATCGACCTTAACCTTTGTCCTTGACCCAAGGGTAAAAAGAAACATGAAGTACATGTACATGTATCTAGAAACACCTTTCAGAGTTTATTTTGGTTGGCAGGATAGAAGTTAAAGAGGTGGTGGTTTTTAATGACCTTGACCTTTCATCCAAATGTCACAATCAATCTTAAGTTCTTGGAGTAAGATACAAGATTCAACTCCAACGTTAAATAGGTTAACAATAAAAATACCCCCCCCCCCCTCCCCCCGCAACAACCAAACAAATCAAATTAATGGCAACGTAGAGAATCGCTGTTAAACTCAAATAACACCTCGGACCCACATAAAATTTCAGGAAAACTGCAGAAAAGAGCTCGAGGAAAGTGTATTAAAACATTTGATCTGAGTTTCCAAAGTATATAGAAATTATCAATTTATACGGAAAAAATTACAAATCCTGTCGTGTCTAAAATTAAAGTGCAGATGAACAAAGTTGGTATATAAGCCTTTTATAGCCTATTTATTCAGATGTCGTTTATAGCATTCAATTCTACTGATTTGAAATAATATTTTAATACCAAGCATCCTTTGTTTATTTTACCTTTGAAATTTATTTGAATTTTTTTTTAGAATTACGCAATCCCCAGAAATAGCGATTTTCGGTATATTTAAAATCAATATACAGGTACGCTCCTTCGTAAAATAATCAGATATTTGCATTCATGAAAAAATATTAATAAGAAGGTGCTAAACAATATTGGTCACATTAGCTGACACGAATGTCTTTTTAAACATCTCTTGTAAACCTCAGAAAGTAGCCCCCTATGCATTGGAGAAAATGAATAGTTCCGGTCAAAAACCTTTATATATTTATTTACAAAGTATATAAAATTTACTAGGCACAGGTACCAGAGTTGTCAAAATGGCCTGAGAGGAAATATTAAAAAAATTCCGAGCAGAAAGGAAAATCCCTTTTCCATGTATGGAACTACTATTGAATAAGTTCATTTTGATTGGTTAGCTATCGGCGTGATACCCTTAGTCGACTTTAACCCTGCCTTGTCGTCGGAATAAAACCAACTTTGAGCCCGAGGTTAAAATAAGTAGAAAAATAAAATGTGAATCGATATATTAAAAAATGACATATGATTGAAAAATGGTAACTTTATATATGTATTTTTTTCTTTGATTTGCGGGATAGAAAGATATGTTAATCATTTAACCAACATGCCATAATCATCTTGCATATGTATGTACATGTACGTGTGCGCGCATGCAAAACGTTAAACGATATATAGTTGATAGTTGATATCATTGTAACTTTTATATTCTTAAATGAAATCCTTGGATACTTAGCATATTTATAAAAGGTCTAAGAGGAATAAGGCACAAAAAGGGACATGGGGAGCGTTTGGGGAACATCTGTAACGGTCCCCGTTACAATTAGCACTAGTTTAAAAGTAACTTCAAACGGAGAAATACGTTTTAGACGTAACTCAATTGTGACATAGGCAACATATATTATACAAAATGGATTAAATCATTTACCCAATCAAATGACGTGTTACAACTAAAATTAAATTATAAGGTGATGTACATTTGTCCTTCAGTCCTAGTTAGAATAACCTTACTGCGTCCTTGCCACATTTAGCATATGTCCCATCAATCTACTTAAAATTAGATGTTAGATCCACTTGCATACTCGCTACACTAACATCTAACTACATCCCATAGAGGGTTACATCAGAGGTCAAATTCGGAACAACACTAGACATATTCACTTCCTCAAATAGACAATGATTTTGCAGGCGACAATTTGAATGGTTGATAGAATTTGACATAACCCTCTATGGGATGTTCTTAGATGATAATGTAGTGAGTGTGCGACTGTGCGAGCAGAAACTGACATTTAATTTTAATTAGATTGATGTCCCATACAGTTTCTATATTGTTGCAAATCCTATTATTATGAATTTTAAAAATTAAATACAACAACTGCACTAAAAATATTACTACCAAATTAATCACAACAAACCAATTAGAGTTTGTGAATGCCTTTTACCTCTCTATCATTTAACCAGGTCTAAAAACTGAGACAGTGAATTTCAGTTCAATAATAGAATATCTACAGTTGTCACAGAATGGAGATACATGTACAATACATGTATGTCATCTTTTGCTTAAATATACTAGTATTCATATGCTGCAAGTGTAACTATGTTTTAGATTGCTTTTTCAATAGTCCATATGATAATATATTACAAATATGAATAGTCAAAGTCTTGTCAATTCCAGTTTATTTCTTACAAAAAACTATTTTTGAAAAAAAACTTCATATGAATGTTTATATCATTGAAGCTATTTTCTATAGCTGAAGTTATGTAAATGAGCCAAATAAAGCTCTACAGTAAAACTCGTTTAGTACGAACACGGATATAGCGAATTCACGGATATAGCGAAGTTTTTCTGGGTCCCCGGCAAAATTCTTAGAAAATCTTTGTAAAATTTTACGGTTATAACGAACTCTGATATAACGAATTTACGGATATAGTGAACTGATTTTGAGCCCCGTAGAGGTTAAATACAATGAAATTTACGTCTTTTATTTCGAACTTTCAAAGATTATAAAAAAAATTAATAAATAGAACTGACTTTATTTCCTTCAAGAATTTTTATATAAAATCCATTTCATAATAAAACCTTAGTTATCGAAGATATTTTTGTAATATAGCTTTCCCCAATATATTTTGTAGTAATACTTAAAGGAAAACATCCATATTGCGAATTCGCTATAATGGTTATACGAATTCGTTATACGGATATAGCGAATTAAAGTCACAGGTCCCTAGGACTTCGCTATAACCGAGTTTTACTGTATATTTTTTGCATAATCAAGTCAGGGTTATGCCATACATATGCATCCTAAAACAGTAAAAGGAGTTGTTTTAGACCTATGAACAACACATTCATCTGTTTTAATGTACATATATAATGATACCTTTCAAGTTTACATTTGTGTTGAGTGCTTAATAAATGAAATGTCTTTTCCTTGTTACAGAAACTGTGTGATATGGTCTGTGAACTCCTGCTAGAGGAGTCCAATGTCCAGCCTGTTTCTTCACCAGTTACAGTGTGTGGGGATATACATGGACAGGTATTTTATCAAATTATAGAATTGAATGTAAGGTATGGTAGGTTTAATGCTTGAATTGGGTCAAAATAAGACAAAATGCAACAGTTGACCTGTGGTTGACCATTTTTGTTAGATTTTGTCAACTAATTTGCCTTATCTGCTTTACATAACTACATGTAATACACTTTGAAATAACCAATATTTAAAGGACAGTTGACATCATGTATTCTAGATTGTAATGACAGAGTTGTGAGTCACAGACTCTGTTATATACATGTATGTTTGTGAAAAAAAAAATAAATACACACACACACACACACACAAAAGATGACAAAACATGCCATATTACAAATCAGCTGAATATGACAAATTTTCAATAATGATGACAAAATTTAGATGCCAGGTGTTTCCCTACAAGTGTTGAATTGTTGTTTATTTTTTTCTATTGTTAAATATTTTTTTAATTGCAGTTTTATGACCTGATGGAATTATTCCGAACCGGAGGGCAGTGTCCAGACACAAATTACATTTTTATGGTATGTTAGTCTGCATAAATTAGAAATTATTAACTACCGGTACTGTAAATCACTTTTTATTAGTGAGAACTTTATTTTCGTAGAATTACCTTAGACATTTAGCTCACAAATATTTCATCCTTGTGCATAAAGGTATTCCTTATGATTATATAGAAGAAAAGCAATTTTTGAAAATTTATGACTCCCTAATAAAGAGTTGATGACTGTCTCTCGAAAATAAGGTGTTGTGAAAATTTAGTGATCTGTGTATTATTTTATCCCAAAGTTTGACTGTGTAGTTCAAATTTATTTTACCCTTTGAGGAAATCATTATGTTGCAAGTTTAAAATTTTGATTAGTCTACTATGTAATTTAGTTACTTTTATGAATTTCTGTTCATGCTTTTTCTGTTTACTTTGTTTTATCTAGGGAGACTTTGTTGATCGGGGATATTACAGTTTGGAAACTTTCACATTGTTACTGACACTAAAAGCCAGGTAAAATACCTCTGTACAGTATTCAGCCTAGAAAGAAAGTGTACCTAAAATATTTTGTTGTAATATGCTATGATAGCACAATTCTACTATTAAGCTCTCATTTCTGTTTTATATTTACAGATGGCCAGACAAAATAATTCTGTTGAGAGGAAATCATGAAAGCAGACAGATCACTCAGATTTATGGATTTTATGGTAAGGAAATTATATACCACCAGTGACTAATCACACCCAATCACCCAGATGGATATGCATGTCTGCTGAGTTTCCTGGGATGAACTGTAGTCATGTACTTACTGCCATTGTCTTCAATTGTTGATGGTTAAGTTAGCTGTAGAACTGAGCTCTCAGAGAAGGAATATTTGAAAGGGCATCTCTGTTATGCCTGACAGGGACTTGTCTTCCAGATTGATAATGTGAAATAAATTAAAAATTTTGAAACTATTGTAAATAAACCCAAAAGATTTTTAGTTCACCTCAACGAAGTTTGGGGAGCTTATGTAATACCCTCGGCGTCGGCGTCGGCGTCGGTGTCGGTGTCGGCGTTGGCGTCCCAGGTTAAGTTTTTTGGAGCAGTTTTCTTTTTAACTACTTCTATGTCCTATATGGATTAGACATGCATGGAGGATGGTTCTAGTGTGTTTCATTGCACCATTCAAAGTTTCAGATGCTGCAATTTCAGCAAAGGAATGACCAGGTTAATGTTTTTGGAGCAGGTTAACATTTTTGGTGCAGTTTTTGGTGTAGGTTTCATTTCCAAGTAACTATAAGCCCTATGTTGACCAAACTTGCATGGATGATACATCTAAGGATGCATACTATCGGGCTTGCTTCGGATGCTGAATCTGACCTACATTTTCCCGTTGAGTGAACAGGTTAAAGTTTTTGGTGCATGTTTCATTTCCAAGTAACTATAAGCCCTATATTGACCAAACTTGCATGGATGATACATCTAAGGATGCATACTACCAGGCTTGCTTCAGATGCTGAATCCGACCTACATTTTCCGGTTTAGTGAATAGGTTAAAGTTAATGCATGATTCATTTCCAAGTATCTATGATTCTTTAATGACCAAACTTGCATGGATAATGCATATAAGGATGCATACTACCAGGCTTGCTTCAGATGCTGAATCTGACCTACTTTTTGTGGATGAGTAAAAATGTTAGTTTTTGATGCATGTTTCATTTCCAATTAACTATGAGCCCTATAATGAGCAAACTTGCATGGACTATAAATCTTAGGATGCAAACTAATGGACTTGCTTCGGATGCTGAATTCGACATGCATTTTTCAGATAATAGACCAGGTAAAAGTTATGGGTGCAAGTCTAATACCAAAAAACTATAAGGCTTACATAACATTGTATAAACCAAACTTGCACAAACGTTGCATCAAGAGATGAAAACTCTCAAATTTGCTTCAGATTCTGGATTTTGATTACATTTTCATGAAGAAGAACTAGTTTAAATTTTTTATGTAGGTCTATTCAAAGTATCAGATCAAAATTGCTTAAATATTTTCATTTTTGGAATGTACACTTTTTGTTGGTTAATTGTGTGACTTTGCCTTACTTAAAGACAACATTCGTTGAGGTGAGCTCTGTAATCTCTGATTACCTATGTTTTAATCATAAAGATTCTGACACTTTCAGGCATGAAATATCATAAAAAAAATTTAAAAACATATCAAAGCTTTCCCAGAGAGTTCAACTCTGCAAGTGTTTGCGAAATTAATTTTTTAAGAAATATGTGTAACCACAATGATGGTGTATGATGTATATTCCTTTAACCTTTAGATGAATGTCAGTCTAAATATGGGAATGCCAATGCCTGGAGATATTGCTGTAAAGTGTTTGATCTTCTCACGGTAGCAGCAGTGAGTATCTTACTGAAAAAAAACAACAAGTAATCACATATTAAAGAAATATTTTGCTGTGTGTATACATGTAACTGTTACTTCTGAAATGTTGCAAACATGCCAAAACAAATCTGACACCAGATGATAAAGACATGTATGTTTGTGATATTTCTTACTACAGTACATGTAATTATTTATTTTCTTTCTTGGGGTGATGTAGTTGTGGAATTCAGTTTTCCTTTTTAAGAAAAAATGAAATCAGAAGCAGACTATTTTCCCTCAAAAATAAATATCATGATGATTTTTTCAACAGATTATAGATGAGTGTGTATTATGTGTCCATGGAGGTCTCTCCCCAGATATAAAGACCATTGACCAGATTAGAACCATTGAGAGGAATCAAGAAATCCCTCACAAAGGAGCTTTTTGTGATATCCTTTTTTGTGTGAATATTATATATAATTATTTTTTCTAGGTAAATGTTAATTTACAAGTCATGTATTTTAAAAATTTGTAACTTATGGGGTGTGTTTGATTGTAAAGTCAGATTTCAATTCCGAGAGTTCCAAAAATTCTACCAATCAAGTAAAACTTGAATCGGAATTAGTTCACAATATGGTTGCAGCTCAACAAGTAAAGAACATCTTCCTATTAAATGATTTATTGAAAGACGCAATGGAGGATGAAAGTGTGAATGAATGCTGTGAAGAACAGAACATCATGATGTTTGCTGTGTGCACACTGCAGCTCGTACGTGAACTCAACAATTACATGTAACATGATTTAAATAATATTATGAGAACAATTACATTAAATTCTAATCTGCAAATAGGTCTATAGGACTGTATTAGGGTCCAAATACATGGGAAAACTTCATACATGTTTTAATCTGCACTTTCGGCAAATGTACACAGTAGTTGCCATCTTTAATTCCTTTCACACCACCTCTCAACACGGGATTGATAGAACTGCGCCGGAATTGAATGCCGGCGAACTTGATTGTAATTCCGCCAATTCCGAAAATTCAAGCTACCAATCAAGCACGCCCATGGATAAAAATCAGGAATTGTTTGAAATGATAGATTAAAAACAGGTCATATTTCATTTTTTTTTTTTTTGGCCCTTTAGCATGCTAAAAAAATCAGTTTTTGTAATTTCTTTACTGTTGCTCTGAAATATCGAAGCGACATAGTACGACTTAACAAATCAAAGTACGAATCATTCGTCGTACGATTTACTTAATAACTAAACTGACCTGGTTTCACGTGGTTTATGAACTTTTTATCAAACAATGTCTAGTTTAGTTCGGAAAACGCTATTATGTGCGCTGAATACGAGATCTTCTCTCCAACAAAATGGATTTACAGCAGTAAGAAATCTTACCAGTCGTACCATGTTGAGTAAACGAACATTTTCAAGCCCTGTCAAATTTCCGAGGCAATTCGGAAGCTTCCAACAGCGTTGGTGTCATCAGAAAAGTGCAAGCCTCGAAAGTGATTCCAACTTGTCAAAGTACCTGGAATCTGAAATAAAGTCGGAAATGGAAGACGGGATTGAAGAAGTTGACAACCTTCTTGATGGATGGTCAAAGGAATGTGAGGGAGTTAAAATCGTTTTGAACAAAAAGATAGGCAAAGAGAGTGTCCGAGTAAAATTCAGCATTGCTGGGGCTCTAGAGGAATACGGACCGGAGGGAGAAGAAGTAGAGTATAATATGCCATTGTTTTGTAAGCCTCCCTTTGAGGTGGAAATTGTCAAGCCAAGTGGTAACACAATGGCCATCTGC